TATGTATATATATATTAATTATGTTTTTTTATTTGTAACATATTTGGATCAATAAAATTTTGCATAAGATGATCTTAAAGTTATTCTGAATTTTCTTAAATATTTCGTTTTTCCCTAAATTTCCATTGTAACTCATGTAGTTTTCATTTTTTTAACTTCATCTAGTTGTAATGTAATTTGCAATTGAGGGTTGCTGATATGATCTGATAAATACTTCTAGTACTATACTAAATAGACCAGAAGCGATTAACAATATCAGGTGATTAACGAACAACGATTGTATTCGCATAAGAGTGTTTACAGAGATGGAAATTCGCAAGACATTTTGTGTGTTCCTGTTATATCGAGTGAGTGTGTACGTGTTCTGCTTAATATATAACGTGTTGATTCCTCCAAGAGAGGAGTGAATAATAGATCAGAGCAATGATAAACAAAAGCCGTATGAGCAGTCTTGAGTACTTATCAGTCCTGCTTTCTGCCTAGCACAGCCAGTTAAGTCCAGAACACCAATAACAGCCTCTGCAATATGAATAATTATTCTCAAACATACTGGGTTTATAAACCAAACAAACTGACCATAAAGTACCATATAATAGAAAATAATATTTGTACAAGATTTGACCAAATGTGGCTGTGAATAGGGGTAACGGTAATTAATGGAGTAGGGATAACTCAAGAATGGTAAATCGTATAATAGTAGTCTATAGATCAAAATAAAGCTTATAATAAAAAGGACATGAATATGAATAGTTTAGTCACTCAACTATTAAAAAATAAGAAAAATACGTATCATGTTGGTCCACAAACAGTCTTCAAAAGTTGCCATTCACAATTCTCTTTGGGATATAACAACCCCAAGAAAAGACAGGTAAATAATTAAGCATAACAGTATATACGCCATTTTAAAAGATAGATTAACTAACAATAATTGAGATAAACTATAGCAGGTATTGACTTAGTAAAGTTACGATTAAAGTACCTGAACATCTAACAATATGCTCCCTTATAATAAAAAGCACTGTCATTTCTAACCATTGGATATTGAAGATTCACAAGCTGTTCTACTTACACACCAAAACACTGTTATAAACAATAGATGTACTATTCTACTCATCGGTATATCAAAAACAGTATATTTATCATTAACTTTCTACCTAATGTTCAATTTATTCAAAACCATCAAGCTGAACCTTAGCATTGATATCTACAAATGATTACCAACACTTATTTAGATGATATCAGCTCAAATCAATATTAATACTGTTTGAACATTTTCAATTCAACTACTAGTCAACATGTTCAACTGTAAAATAACAATTATTTTTTAATAATGGAGATCATGAGTTTTTGAAGCTAGACCACCATGAAAAACCTGGAAGCACTGGACGACCCTTTTATCCTATTGTTGGACTCCTCACCATTGCGCATCCACAATCCCTCCTCACGAGATTCGAACCCAGGACCTGTCGGTCTCTCTCTTAACCTCGATAAAAAACTTAAAACAATGAATCTTATTGATAATCAAAAGGTAATTATTTTAATAAAATAAAATAAATTCACCACTTAATTAAGAATTTTTGTTGACTGAATTTCTCATGTAATATGAGACTAAAGTATAAATTTTTTCTAGTTTAAACAAAATTCGGTATCTTTAAATGAAATAAAAAATAAAAAAAATAACGAATTAAAAATACCAAATAAAATTTAAATTGGGTAGGTAGTTAAAATAATAATCACCAAGTATATATTATATAATGAACATTGATGATATCTGAAACCCCATGCATAGAAGGCTTTTAATTAGCATTATAATTGTGTATTCTGTTATATGAATATTTGGATATCTTTATATACATATATGAAGTAAATTAATATAATTTGCATTTACATTGATGATAAATGTTTTTTTTTTGCAAATTTTAAATTACTACTCAAATGAAGAAAAGATATTTTACGCTTCTCTGAAATGAACTTGATTTTGGACTTCATTTTAAATTAAGAATATTTCAGTGGAACTATGGAAAACTGAATGTAGACGATAATTTTTATTTTAATAATACAAACATAATATGAATAGTGTTTTTGTTTTCATCGACATATTTTATTTTGTGCTTTAAAAGAAGTAAAACTAATACTTGATAATGGTGGTTTGTAATGATATGTAAAATGCATACTGTGTGAAAGTTGTTGATCAGTGGTCTGCTTTCAAAGATACAAACTTCTAAATTCTTTATTCAAATCTCATATAAGATTGTGGGTGGTCACTACTGATTGTTTGTAAGCTGGAGTAATGATGTAGCTACTGCAATTCCGAAAATTCTCATTTGAATGTAGTAGATATAGAACAACACTCTGGATTCTATCTAAGTTTGTTTTTTATATAGTTGAGATCATGAGTCAATTGAAGCTAGACCACCAAGGAAAACCTGGAAGCACTGGACGGCCGGTGTTTACAGTGCTATGTAAACACTTGTGTAAAAATAAAATATACAAAAGATCTTAACAGTATTGGTTCAACGGTATACATTTAATAAATGTTCCAAATAACTTGTAAAATTTGTAATTCAACGAATATGTAGAAAAAATCTAACTAATTATCAAAGAGGTAAGCATTAATGACTAACAAAAATCTTTATTCTCTCTACTAATAATGAATAAATTCAACCAAATCAAATGTAAATAGTTAAGCAAGCCAAAATTAATATTGATTTCACTCGAAACCTTACGGCTAAGTAAAAGAAAATCCAAGACATTTAGTTAAAGAGTCTATAATAGCAGGAATATGACTGAAAAATTAAAGTAGTTTTACGGATGTAAACAGATTCATAAAAATTGGCTCCAATAGTGATGTAGGTCTTAGTTTTTGGATTACATAATCTTTATAAGCCTCCAAAAAGTTTGATAAATATCAGTTTGTGAAATTATTTAAATATCTTGAGACGAAATTATTCATTTTAATTAATTAGTGAAACAAGTATTGTACATATTAGGTAAGACTCAGTTGGTTTAACTTTAATAATCATCTTTTACATGGTATTGTCACTTAAATTTTTGGCTGAATACTTCATTGTTGTTAAGCATACGATGTCTGATCATTTATTAGCTATATATCCTAACAAAAACCATAATTATTTGTTCTTTGCCGCCGATCATTTCTGTTCAGTTTCCATATTTAACTTGATATGATGGCAAATATTTATGGCATTAACTGGAATGTAGTGGACGGCTGTCTCATCCTTGTAGGGTATTCCTTAGCAATTCGCATCGCCCAGGGGACTCGAATCCAGGACCTTCAGTCTTATGAGAACACCTGACCTCTAAACCACTGGATTGACTACCATTTTAATTGTCATCTTGTAATAAATATTAAAATTACGGAGAAAAGCTATAGTCCTTAGCTAAATACTGTTGTTGTATTTTCTTTCTCTAATCTGAATAGCTTAATTATGAAGTTGCAAAATTAAACTAACCAGGCCAGTGATTGTTATATTACTAAAACATTTCCAAATATTTTGTACACATTATTCTGTTTTTATTTTATTTTAACATTAATTTCAAATATAAGTTGTTGATTTTGATTTATTCTTAAGTAATAAATATTATAGGTGTTGTTATTTATTCCCTTGCTTTTTTTATTGTTTATTACCCTCAGAAAGAAAATAAATTACTAGACAGAACTTTCAAAATGAATTCATTTAGAAGTTAGAAAAGTTTCATCATCAGATTATTATTTTTTTGATTTGAAGACAAAACAAAACGAAAAAGAAATGGGAAATATTAACAATTTCGATCAAAAATGAAACAAACACTAATAAGCAAAGATGGATAGTGGCTAGCAGTGGAAATCAGGACGCGCGTTTCGTCCTATTTGTGATTCGTAAGCTGGATGTACCTGCATCTTAGAGTTAATGTTCAGTCTGGAACTAGAACCCAGGACTCAGTGACCGAGTAGATAACGCGGTGGCGTTTGAAGCGAAGGGTACTGGGTTCGAGTCCCAGGGTGAACATCAGCTCTGAGATGCAGGTACATCAAGCTGACGAGTCCCAAATAGGACGAAACACGCGTCCTGGATTCCACTACTAGCAACTATTCATCTTTGCTTACCATGCTTGTGAATTAAGGCTATATTGAGGTAATACGCACAGTATGCACATATGCCAATTAGAGACTGACCAGTTGCAGTTCTAAAACTTTAATGGGAAGATTCAAACAAACAATACTAAATGAATTTAAACTCTAATAAGTTCTATTTGGTATTGTTTGCTTGAATCTTATCATTGATGTTCTAGGACTGCAATCGATCAGTCTGTTATAAGCATATGTATATACTGTGCAGATTGCCTCGATGGTGGCTAACAGTAAAACACTAATAAGTAAATAAAAATGTTTACATTTGAAATTATTATAGTCAGTAAAAGTTGACTGACTTGATTATCAATATAAAAGAAAAATAAAACAAACAAACATATGCTATTCCAGGTATATATTTACATAAACTACTTCAAATATAGCGTAATGTATAAAACCAAATAATGATGAAATTAAAGAAAAAAACTAAGATGACCTGACTGACCTCTCTTCTTTTAATACTATACATTAATTATTTAATTACTGTCAATAATAAATAAAATAAATATTCATTTATGTTTTACATTATTTCATATTATCCTATCTATTTTGTTAATTTATTATATACCTTCAATAAGTAATCACCATAGTCATTAAGCTTTATAATAAACAATTTGAGTATTACATCACTATAGTAAGATTGTGTTTATTTATAATTTCCACCTGGTTTAATTATTCATTCGTGTAATATGGATGCACATCTATGTATTAATGCATGAATACAGACTTGATAAATTGTGTATATACACGAATTGGTTAATTGAACATAGGGTATTCACTGACTAGGTAACTAATATGTATTTGTGTACATCTTTAAAATAATTATATAAGACAATATATTTTACTATTAGATGATTCAATAAATTACAGGGTTTTTATATGTGCACACATATCTGTACACTAAATGAAGGTGTTTCGATTTATACTTGCCAATCATTTTTCAATATTTCATCACATTATGATTTCCTTCTTATATATGTTACCTTAAATCAGTCAAGACCCCCCCCTTTGAATTTAACTTTATTATAGCATTTGGTTACAGATTTTCATTTTGTAACAGAATTAAATGATTCTCTTTCCTTTTTTTCTTCTTCTCTCTAATACATTTTGGATAAATAATAAATACTGACTATTACATAATAAATTATTAATGTAGAAAAAACATTTAATCATAATGGGTTATTATGAATAGTTCAGTTAAAACAAAAAACAAAACACAATCCATATAAAACGTTTAAAAGAAGAAAGAAACTACTTTACTTTATTCAACCGAAAATTATTCTTTAAAAAAATGTATAAAATAGTAAAATATTATGGATTTTATAATGAATTATGGAAATCTTCAATATTATTAATTATTTTATGTTCTTTTCAAGGAGAAAATTTTAAGGTGAGTACATTTATTTTTTTTGTTTTTGTTGTTGTTGCTATGATGACTTTCAAGGTTGTTGTTTTTTTTCATTGTTTAACTTATATTTAGATTATAAAAAAATTATTATTAGACATTTTTTCTGATTAGAGTTTTTTTTAGCGAGTTAGTTTTTCTAAGGGATGGGGTGGCTAACACCATGCCCAACCCTCCTCCTTTATTACAAACTTGGGACCGGTAGTAACTCTAGAAGAGCTACAGGCAGAGTTATTTTTAAACATAGTTTATATTTATAAAATTTTAATAGTATTTAAAATCAAACAAATCCTGTTTTGTTTTTTCTCCCAGTTATCATATTTGAACTTCTTCAGAAGAATAATTAAAAATTTAAAAAGATTAAGATTTACACAAATTAAATTATTCTGAATTAAATTTTTCTTGATAATACTGAAAGTATACAAAGAACATTGAACTGAAATATTATATAAATTTTATGAATGTAAACGATCTTGTTGATTCAGAACTTTAACTTATCATGGAAATTAGGATAGACTGAATTAAAAAGAAAGACATCAAGTTTGATTTTTGAAGTCATTCAATTAGTGAATATCAATAATATCAGGGTCAATAAATTACGGAGAGGAAAATACAAGATGATTTGACTTACTGATTAGATCGATTATATTGTTTATTATTGTATTATGTTTTATGTTTCTTCAAGATTGAGAAAAGTCTTACTAACGACTATCGAAAAGCTTGAAGCTTTGCTTTCATCGACTAGAACAAATTAGGAAATGTTGAATGCAGTTTACAACAATATTTAGTTGGTAAGGTTAGTCTCTAAGCTATAATCAACGGTTAATTTATTTAACTGGTATCAAACATTAGAATACACAAAGTTTTTCTACTATATATCACATGAATGTTTTATTTATTTTATTTAAACACATGATTATTGGTACAAGGGGCACCAGATATATATGCGCCACACAAATCTCATTTAGTTTATGTGAGGGCTGTGATACTGCCCAGGTACCCAAAATGAAGCAGGTGGTTTTCTTAGGGGGCCACACCCCGAGCCTCTGACCTAAAAGTCTGATCCACAAGGCAGTGGAGCATCGTAAAAAGATGCAGTCCCCTTGTAACCAGTGACCAACAATTGATTCATACGCCATTTGTTCCTTCAGGATATTAGAGCACATGTGCACCATTGGTATGGAATGAGGGTTTTCCAACTCCCCTAGGTGAACTTTCCGTATCCATTAACCCGGTTAAAGCGCCGGACATTCGCTTTTTGTCCTCTCAATCTCGTAAACAACAGTAATGCCACGAGAAGGCAGTGAGTAGGACATCGCTGGCAGAGGCTATATACGCGTGACCATGTGAGAGCATTTCGAGAGGGAGAGCGAACTCTCTCCACTCTCGGCCGTACCGGGGAATTTGGGGCTTACTTAATTCAGTCTTATAATAAGCCAATGAATACTTCGAAACTTGGAAAAAATATTATTTCTTGCAAAACCACTCTAAATTATTCATATTTAGATGTGTTTACATTATATTGAAGGTACAACAATTATAAATTGAATTGAATTACATGGACAAAACCTTAGTAATAGTTTTAACGCAAACATTTTCTAAAAGTATTATTATGCATTGCAATATAAAATGTTACGTTTAACAGACTGATCAACATATATTGGTAAAAGTAATATTTTCCTATACCAGCTTATTATATTAAAAGATGCGTGATTTTTTCTGCATACTTGCGTATAACTGATCATTCAATCATTGACCGTAAATTAAGGAAACATTTTAGTTTAAGTTAAAACTGTTTTGTTCTATTTTAAGTATATTTATCTCATTGAAATCATGAACTGATCAATGTTAGACTAGGATAAAACAACCATCCAGTGGTTTCATGGTTTTTTCTGGTGGTCTAACATTGATCGATTGAGACTGTTAGGTCCTGGGTTCGAATCTCACGCGGTGAGGTCGTGGACGCGCACTGCTGAGGAGTTCCACAATAGGTCGAAACAGCCGTCCAGTGCTTCCAGGTTTTCCTTAGTGGTGTAGCTTCAACTGACTCATGCTTTCAACTTTGAAAATATTAATTCTCTACAAAACCCCTTCTGATTATAATCTCCACAACGTCAAACAGAAATATCTATATGTTGTACAGCAAGTTTAGACAGTCCATAAAATGCTCAATTTCATCCGATAATAGTTCTATGAAGTTCAAAAACAATAGTTGTGTGCTTATCAAAAGCAAAGATAATTTTATTATAAATACAATATTAAAGATTTTAAAATAGACGTTCAGTTTTCATGGTTATACTAAAAGAGTTTCATTGCGTCCTGGGAAAAAAATATTAAATCTATTCTCTCTGTCGTATTAAATAATATAGTTAGTGAGCATATAGATAGACCATTTATAATTATTTATCAGAATAAAAGTCCAGTTGGATAACTACTCTGAAACAAATAAAATAAGTTAATCCAAACAAACAATACTAAGTCAATTTAAACTTCACCCAATTACACAAGATAGTGGCTATCAGGACTCAGTAGCTGAGTGGAGAACGCGATGACGTTTGAAGCGAAAGGTACTGAGTTCGAGTCCCAGAGCGAACGTCAACTCTGAGATGCAGGTACATCAAACTGACGAGTCCCAAATAGGACGAAGTGGCGCGTCCTGGATTCCACTGCTATCCACTATCCATCTTTGCTTACCATGCTTGTGAATTAAGGATATATCGAGGCAATACGCACAGTATGCACATATGCCAATTAGAGACTGACCAGTTGCAGTCCTAAAAACATCAATGGGAAGATTCAAACAATCAATACTAAGTAAATTTGATTATAAAGTTGTTTGTTAAAATTTCAATGAGCCTGTTACATTTAAAATGCTGGTGATATGAGTAATTTATTACATTTTATGGGATAGAATCAAAGTATTTATATTCAATTTTCCTAATGGACCAAAAGTCTTTTATTGGTCAAGTCAAGCTTATTTAGTGGACTAAAGTATAAGTGAAGTATGAATTACCCATAAGTTATCTGATACTATATCTAGCATATCGTATTTTCATTTGCTATACAAGTTTCAGACTTTACTTAATATAAACATCTTGTTGACCGAATTGAATACTGGAAGAATATAAATCAAATATGATACAGTTGGATATATTATCTTAAAGTTACAGATAAACTTGACTGGTAAATGCCAACGTGATCCAGGATAGTACTGTACTCGGCAGAAAGCGTTCAATGTTGAATGCGATCTTGCATTATTACAACAAGCTTATACAAGTTCATGAAATAAACAAAATGTTTTTATCAAATCCATGTATAAAAATGAAAACATTCTTTTTAGAAAAGACAACCTACGTAAAATGTTTGTTATAATAACTGACAGTAACTATTTCTTGTTTATAAAAAACAAATTAGTTAAACATCTTTCTAGTTTTCATTGAAGTTTTAAATTAACATTACAGAGTTCAATATACCAGCTGCTTATAAATAATATCTCCCATAGTAGTAACATATATAAAACAAATGTTAAAATGGGATAGTTTTATTGTTTAATTATATTTAATTAGTTACTTCTATAGTAGAAAAAAAAACATAATAAAGGTTCACCATAATTTACAGTGATTTAGACTGTGCATCTGTATGTTAAAGTGCATAGATTTATTTGTATACGAGGTGTAATAAAGATGATGACGCTCTTCGTATTAAAAGTCAAAGTGAACTACTCTCTGAGATGAAATTCAGCTAATAAAAAAGTTTGTTTGTAGTTAAACAGTCTAATAATGTTATACTATTGTATAAATTACACCAACAACTGCATTTGTACAGGAATGAAGTTGATTAACAGTAAAAGATTAAGTGTTACATGACACAGTACAGGTGTAGTGTGGCTTACTTATATCCATATAAGTAGTATATGGCGATGGTCAGACATAGAATGTATTTTGGCAGAAGACCGATAAGGAAAGAACTGAAATGAAGCGCGATTGGTACGAAAATGCATGAACAATGGAATTAGAGAAGATGAACTGTTATTTACAGAAGAAACAGTGAAGATCGAGGCAATTGGTTGTTATTTTGCAAATTAACTGCTCATGTGGAGCACGTTATATAGGCCGCACAAAGCGATCGCTTTCCAAACGTATCTCTGAACACTATCCAGCTTGGCTCCTAAAAGGTGAATGTAAGAAGATAACCAGTTCGATACAAGAGCACTTGATCAATTGCGGACACATTGCTCCAAAAGAGACGTCTTTTAAAATAATCTATAGAGTTAAAGGAACCGGATCAAAGAGAGGTCGAATCAATATTTTATGCACTGCTGAGGCATTGGCAATCATGAATTCAAGACTGAGCTTTGCGTGCAGAAACGATTTGTCCAACCTCTTACCCTTCCTTGGCCCTAATTCCTTCATTGGGTACGTTTTTTGGTTTTTTGTTTTTTGTACTTTTATCTGATTATTATCGGTTTTTTGTTTTTCAAATTACTACTTTACATTTAATCTCTAATCAGTTATTATTATTATTACCTTATACAAGTTTTCTTGATTATTACTCAGATTATTATTATTATTATGACCTTTGTGTTTGTCACTTTTCTTCATATCTGTCAATTGAACTATTAGAGGGGGTTTTGTGGAGATTTAGTATTTTTCATAGTTTTAAAGCATGAGTCAATTGAAGCTAGACCACCATGGAAAACCTGGAAACACTGGACGGCCGTTTCGTCCTATTATGGGACTCCTCAGCAGTGCGCATCCACGAACCCGCTCGCGCGAGATTCGAACCCAGGACCTACCAGTTTCGAGCCGAAGCCCTTAACCGATAGACCACTGAGCTGGCATCCAACGGTGTTAATGTCTAACTTCAACTGATCCACGAAGTTGAGCAACCATTCACCAATTGTCTTCAGTGAGTTCCTATCTCACAACAGACGTGGTTTTGAACTCCACTAGTCACTGCTTCTCACTAGAGCTCCTAGTTATACT